AACTTAAAGTTTATTTGATTAATAATCAAATAATTCATAACTTGATTGTTATAGGCCCATAACCTGAATAGGATTATTTAAACATTCAAATAATCCTCAATATGGCCAAAACTTTATTTGTTTCTGACCCAACTTAAATAAACTAAGTGGGCTTCAGCCTGTTTTCACATAGCTCAAATAAAAATTTAATTGAGCTTCGGTCTGAAAAAAAAAAATTTAAATTTAGGCCCATAATGTTGAATTTATTTGAAAATTTCAATTAATCCATAATTTAATATTGCCTTAAACTTGATTAATTATTTGAACAATTCAAATAATTCAGGCCCAAACATAAGTAAACAGCAGGCAGGCCCATAAGATGATATTATTTGAGAAACTCAAATAATTCACAACAGGCCTAAAGACTTAAATTTGTGGGCTCAAAAGCTTAATTCAAAAAACCAGGCCCATAAAGTAATAGTGGCCTACAGCTTATAAAACCAAAATCCATAACTCAATCAGTTAGTCACTGGCCCAACTAGCCCATAACCAAGAGCTCGTTCTCGTTCTGTGCGCGAACTCAACATTCGCCTGCAATTCCCTGTTACCCGACGGGAAAAGAAATCGAGCTCGCCTAAAATATTTCGAACTCGCCTGAAACCCTATCAAGCTCTCCTGAGTGAGAATTCGAGATCCCCTGCAAGAGAGCATCGAGCTCTGTTAGAAATTTATCAAATAATTAAGAATATAGCATGCAGATAAATCCGAATAAAATAAATAAGAAATTAGAAATTCAGGCCTGACGGGAGCAGTCGTGTATTCACTGCCCTAGAAGATTGAGACCCCGCCTATCGCCCTGGCGCAGATAGTTCCCTCCCCCCTAGCGGTAAAAGCCCCCGAAAACGACCGGCCTCTGTACTCGGGCGAGAGTGCAGAGCTTCAGCTCAGATGAAGGAAGTTGCCCAAATAAACCGTAGCAAATCAGAAAAGAGGCTTTGGAAGAAAAGAGAGAAGGAATGTTCTTGTTGTTTTCCTTATTGTTTTTCCGAGAAGAGAAAGGCCGTATATATAGGCTTTTAGAAAACCGTTACAAAACCCCTCAATAAATTCGGTAACGTTAGCCATAATTGCATAACCATTACCAAAGTTTTAATTACATGTTTTAATTATAATATTTATTATTATTATTACAATATTTATTATTATTCATGAAGGCAAAATTGCCTTTTTATAATAAAATATCCAACAAGCTCGCCGTAAATTGAGACAAAGCTCGCCTGATTTGCGTCCAAGCTCGAGCTCTCCTGCAACCCTAATTGAGCTCGCCTGAAAATTGAGTTCGAGCTCGCCTGAAATTCGAGCACGAAGCTCGTCTGAATCGAGTCGAACCTGCCTGAGTCGAGCTCTCGAACTCGCCTAAAACGAGCAATCGAAGGATCGCCTGGAATTGGGGCTCGAGCTTGCTAGTTTGGGGCTTGAGCTCGCCTGAATGAAGACTCGCCTGATCCAGGCTCGCCTGCTGTTTGCCAATGAAGCTCGCCTGCTGACGTAGTCGACGAGTTCGCCGGCAACCTGATTGAAGCTCGCCTGAATACAGGCAAGCACCTCAACCCCTAATTTTCTCCACCCCTTAGGCTTTCAAAACTGAACCCCCGCTACCACTTGGGCTTCTGCAACCTAGGGTTTCGAAAACCCTAGGTTCCTGACTGCAGATGGCCGCCGCCACCGCTGAAGCTCTCGCATGCTAGGGTTGAAACCCTAGGGTTCCTGATTACCGCCGCCGCTATCTTCATTTGACAGTGGGGCCGCCAACGAACATTTCGCAGGCGAAGAGCACGGCGATTGACGGCCAAAAGACCAAAATTTTGTTGTTCTTAATCCATAAATTAGATCCAACAACCCAAAATCAAGTTGATAAACTTCATACAATCTGGATCAAGAGTTTGATCCAGATTCAACATGAAGAAATCAAACCCAAACTTTGGCAGAATGAAGAAATCAAGCCAAAGAACATAAAACTTAAATTTGTTACTGTTCATATGAGAACAATTCTCAAAATCACTGATTTAGATCAAAAAACCCAAATTTTGATCTTAAAATTTTTAAAGTATTACAAGCAACTCCTTAAAAAATGTACATTAACCACTTGAAAGTTTCCAAAATTACAAATACCCTCTAAGAGTTTACGAACAACCTCTCAAAAAATTTGTAAATTGCAAATAATTCCACAAAAAATGTATAAAACTGCCATCTAGAAACTTTACAACCATTCTTCTAAAAGTTTTGAAAACTAGAACAAAACCTCAGAATTTTATAAAGAACACCCTAAAAATTTCTAAAAATTATAAATAAATTCCTAATTTAACATATTATAATAATATATTATTGTTATGGAGAATGCATGATGTGGGAGAGAATAATGATCGTGGAAAGTCATGTATGTCCTTAATTTTAGGAGATGGTGAAACCTTATACTATCTATTTTGGGTGTTTGAAAAAAGTCTTAATTTTTTATTCATGTTCTAGTTCTGGGTGAACCAAATATAAGCATTAATTGAAATCTCAATTGTTTTCTTATTTTCAAAAATCGTAAATTTTTATTTAGATTGTATAGGAGATAGATGATTAGCTATCTAATTTTGAATATCAAGCTTAATATTATAATTTATCTAAGAAAAACTTTACCACTCAAACTATCTACTTTAACTAATAAAAAAAACTCTATTCTCTTCTTTTTTTTATAACATAGTAAAAAGATGTGCTCATTATCTTCTCCTTCATAATTAATCTGTAAGTTCTAGTCTCTAAATAAGCATGGTCAATCTCTCTTATTATACTGGGGCATCTTAACTTATTCGAAAGGTGTATTAACCAACATACATAAACTAAAAAAAATCAAAATAAACCGGGCAATCCCGAGTAAAAGAAAAAAGGAAAATTAAAAGAAAGAAATTCCGAGTAAAAGAAAGAAAATCAAAACATATCGTGCAACCACTGGCGTAATACTTGCTTATCTTCGTAAAAATAAAAAATAGTTATACGTGTGATAGAATCGAATTCGGCCGCCAAGATTGTCAAGCCCATTGATAGAATCGAAGGGCCCATAAGTCTTCTCACGGAGATTTGACCCAACTTACATGGGCATTTTCGTCAAATCGCTTGTAACCCAGAAGAAGAACAAAACCCTACCCCAAAAAACCCTAAACCCTAATCTCCACATAAAACTATAAAACCTCGCCTCTTTTCTCCTCTCTTGAGGAATCCCCAACCCATCGCCGATCCCGCCCTCTCTTTCTTCAATCTCAAATCGCAGCCATGAGACCTCCAAGAGGTGAATCCCCTTATCCCCGCTCATCTAATTTCGGGGGAAAAAAATCGAAGCAAATCCGTTCAATGCTAAAGTTGATCTACGAAGCCTCGGAGTTTATTTATTTGTTTCTTGTTCCTTTTAGTAATTCCGAGCAAAAGAAGTAAACTTTGTGCTTAAAATTAATGAATTTGTCAATTTCAGTTTGATCGTATACCTTGTTGCTGTAAAGCTTGTTTTTTTTCAACGTCTCTATAAAATGGGATTCTAGATCTATGCCAGGTTATCGAACTAACATGAAAAGATTTTCCGCCCCTAAGGTGGTGGATTCCGTGGAAGAAGTGATGGCGGTCGAGGAGGACGAGGCCGAGGCGGCGGCGGCGGAGGGGGGGCCGGAGGGGG